ACTGGCTGATCCACGTACGTATGCGTATGGTAGTTCATAGCGCCTCACGTTTAATTTATTAACAGCACTGAAGGGAATAAGAGAAATCAACTGACGAATGGGTGCGCAAGCATTAATCATCGACTTTCCTGGATTTCGCTAAATTCAAAATAAAGAAAAATAACCAACGCGGAATCGTTAAAAAGCCACAAAAAGAAACTTGACGGAACTTACAAGAAAACAAAATATGCTGCTGCTCAACCGCCTCACTTGTACGAGGGTGCGAAAAATTACAGTGATGAAAATACAAAAACTATAAATAAGTCGGCTGTTACACAACAGCATGGGAAAGAATAAAAAGCAATATGAACAATGAAAAATCATTCAAAGAGCAACAATATTAGGTGTTCTTTCTTTCAGTACTCCGCACCGCCAGGAATTCCGGCTGCCGGAGGTGGCTTCGTGGGTGGAAGCAGCGGCCCTCGAGCAGTTACTGAATCAGGAAACAACTGCGAATAGCTAGCTACCGGAACATAATTGGCTGTGATTACTTTACCTATAAAAAAAATGCCAGTTATCTGCGCTATATTTTACAGATATTAGTATTTTGGTGTCACAACCTATATCCAAATGTCGAAATGACTGTGACGAGGGTTTAAAAAAATAAATACTGCTAAGAAAAAAATTCACTTAAACATTAAGAAAAGATCGGCCCCTCAATTCGCTCTCCACCAAGTACTGCTAAAAGTGCCTGTACGGAAAAGAAAATGAGAAAAAATTCATAAGAACACAAATTTTGACCAGCGAAGTGCAGAGCTTGCGGAGTGAGGTACGAAAAAACTAGGACCTATCGAATCAAACTGAGAAAAAAAGAGCTATAGACTCAAAAAATACTACATTTACATAAATGCGGTTTGAAAGCGAGAAAGGCGCTAAGCGGCGAGTCAAAACTAAAATAAAACGTGTCTTCATGTACTAAGAGCTGGAAAGGCCGCAAGAGAGTGTTTATTTCAATTACACAAATTACAAAATACCTGAAAACCATCGGCCATGTAGCGCATTCACCGACTTGTATGCAACTGCAACTGAAGGGCACTTCACATAAACATTGCCATGCGGAGAGGCCTTGTCCACAAAAATGTGCAGCACTCCTGAAATCAAGCGCCCCTCAAACACAGTGCTTAATTTTGGTACATAAATTCACAGTGCCTGCGCTAAAACAGTGTTACCTCCATTTTTGGCACATTCCTCGATAACATCATCGCGCACCTCATCGGCCCAAGTATCACCCGTCTCTCTGCAAAACAACAGCTATACTTTGCAGGTATTTTTTTCTGCTCATCCGAATAATGTGAGTAAAAGCCACTCAATTTTTTGATTTTCCCTGACTTATCATTCGGGCAAGTAAATCTGGCACTTTTATTCCTATATGTAACAGTCAAAGATTGAAACTGTCACGAAATAAATTAGCAACCACTCGCCGCCGGACATAGTGTATTGGCAAAAATCGTCGCCAGCGCGCATGAGGACGAAGGTTCGACTTCGCCAGTGCGACAACCCAGCCCCTCAACGATTCGTTCGTTCGTTTTCGTAGTAAAACTGGTACAGGCGCATGAAAAGGAATCAACTTTCTCTGTCCTAATTGCTTCGAAGCAACAGATGAAGGAAGCCATCAACAGACTTGCGAACCGTTATTACAGCTGGCACTTGCAATCAATCTAACTACTTCGGGAAAGGTGATAAATGCAGTTCAGTCGTTATATGCCAGATTTTTCCATCAAATTCTACATCAGCCTTCGAAAGAAAAAAAAAAAGCAGCACAATGAAATGTAATAATTACTGTGTTGGATCAAACATATTGGAAAGCATGAAGCATTGTGTGGCGATCGGTGGAATAGGTGTGCCCCCAACTGTGACGCCTTCCAACTGCTGCTGATTCTGCGCCAGCATTTCTTTGGCACTTTTTGGCAATTCCAAACCACTTCCTGTAACAAACGGTTAAATCCAGACGCTACAAAATTAAATATGCAAAAACTGAAGGAGGAAACTTTTTAGAAGAGGAACAATGTAACTTTTATTCCAATTTTTTCCAGCAATGAGAAAATTGCCAGCTGTACTGATGTTATGTATGTAGGCATCTCACCGTACAGAAACGAGAGCTCAATGAAATAAACTTCTCTCAAAAGAAAGCAACAGCCTTTGAGATACAATCGGTATAATCGCATCATACACTAATTGCAAAAATGCGCCATCTTTCCCCTATGAAAAGGGTAGTGCCTAAGAACAGGGAATTTTAAGAAATTTCCGACCTTCGGCTAATTTAGCCATTAGATGCAGACGTCCACTAGTTCCCAAATCGATACCACGTCTATCCGCTTCATCTGTATCGAGTGTACGCTGTGGAAGTTGTGGTGGCAGCTCGTCGCCTTCCACCGAGCAAACCTACAAAGCTGTGCATGCTTAACGACATAGCATAATCAGAGCAAACAAAAACAGGGAACGCACTGTTCTGCTGGACTGCTAACGTAAAAAATAGATAAACAGTGGCGGCCTGCAGGTGCGATCACACGTTCTTTGCACAGCTTTTCCCATGGATGTTTGCTGCTAAGTAGTAGTACTGGTCTTTCATGCAAGTAGTTCTACAAAAATTGAGGTATAAGTTCGAATTCGTT